TAAAAGTATTTGCAGCTTGGTTCATTGGGATGAATATTGAGGTTGAGAGACCTAGATTCTAGTCTCAGCTGTGCCTTATTACCTTGTGACTGCAGGCCAGTCACCACCTTTGTGAGAGTCACCTAATCGATAAAATGAAGAGAACAGTGAACATTCTACCTACTGTGAAGGGATGGTAGAGTGTTAAATGAGGTGTATTGATGAAAATGTTTAAGGATGCTAATGTGCCATGACAATACTAATCATTAAACTTCATTTTGTATGTTATTACAAAAGCTGCTAGGAACACCTGTGGCAGACCACAAAGCAAGATTTGTTTATATTTATATTTCATACAGTTTGTTACGTGAAAACATTTTATGTTAGAAATGAAGAACCAAACATAGGACTGATTGACAAAATGGAGATACATTGCTGTCTTTTTTCCACTCCTTTTTTCTTAGTGTTATTTGTGTTTTCCTCCTCATGATTTTCCAGGCACAGAGTGTATCCAGCAGTTAGCTGAAAACACGAAGTATTTCAGGAGACGTCTGAAAGAGATGGGCTTCATCATCTATGGGAATGAAGACTCTCCAGTGGTGCCTTTGATGCTCTACATGCCGGCCAAAATTGGGTATGTTCTTTTTTTTTTTTTGACAGAGACACAGCGAGAGAGGGAACACAAGCAGGGAGAGTGGGAGAGGGAGAAGCAGGCTTCCCGACGAGCAGGGAGCCCCGATGCAGGGCTTGATCCCAGGACCCTGGGATCATGACCTGAGCCGAAGGCAGACGCTTAACAACTGAGCCACTCAGGTGCCCCAAAATTGGGTATGTTCTGTTGCAGGCTACAGACTGGTCTCATTAGACTCAAGGCTTCCGTGATATTACACTCAGGCTTGTGTATTTTGTTAGGAAAAATTGTCTTGGCCTCATTATGTTAACCTTCTAGATTTGCTAGAAATTCCATAGATTAAATAGTGGATTCCAATTTATAAAATAAGTTAACTTGTTAGTCTTTTATTAAACAAATACTGAGTTTAATGCACTCTTCTAGGAGATTAGGATAGATCAGTGGACAGAACACAAAAATAAAAATCCCTGCCATTGTGGAGCTTATGTTCTAACAGGGCAGGAGTCAGACAAATGTAATAAATACGTTATGTAATTTGTTAGAAGACAGGGGCGCCTGGGTGGCTCAGTTGGTTAAGCAACTGCCTTCGGCTCAGGTCATGATCCCAGGGTCCT